CTGCAGTGACAGTGACCAGACTCAGCCATCAGTCTAGATCCGGTAGCAAGTCCATGGTCAGGAGACAGGCTCAAGATCAAGCTAGGAAGTGAATTCCACACATCAGAATTAGCAAGGTACCTCACCAGGCATAGATTTGGCTGCATCATAGCTCAGGCAAGATCCAAGGGTAAAGGCCTGAGCTTAAAAGTAGCTCCTCAGTGAAAGTGGGGATGTCTCCAATGAGGCGTCTCAAAGCTTTTGCCACACAGCTTTTTCACAACAGTCTGATCCCAGGTTACACAGCTGTGCTGTATCAGAATTGGCCTTGCGCATGAGCAGCCAAAGCCCTGGAAGGGGGAGAAGAGGTTGTACTCAAGGCCCAGACACCTACCAACCCAAGACAGTTAATGTGCATGCACCTTCCCTTGAGGAAAGGGAAGAGGGCAAATGAGAAAAGGGAAGGGCTCATGTGGGAAGACGGCAAAAAGCATGTGAAGCTCTTTCCCCGGAAGAAGAATGTTTTCAAAATTTTAAGAGAGTATTTCCTTTGATCTGTTGTTTGCCCACATCTGCCTGTGTTTCTACACCTGTCAGCCTGATCGGGCCAAATTCCCGCACAGTTCTGCCCTGGGCAGTGCTCTGAGCCTGCGCAGCTGATGCTGAAAACAATTGAGCCTCTCAAAGGTTTCCACAGAGAGAATCCAGCAAACACCACACCCACAAGGTCATCCTTGTTTCTTGATTCTGACAGTCCGTGCTGCTATCAGAGCTTGAAGAGGCTGAGACTGCACGAGGACAGAATAAAACTCATCAGCCTCTTTTATTTGCAGAGTGACTATAGGATGGTGTTAAACGCACTGCAGAGTGCCCTGGAGATATAAACCTTAACCCGTTTTTCACTGTTTCTGAACCTAGAAGTAGAATGTCTGTTACCAGCGTGGCCTTGTGCCCAAGGTTATGTGATCTTGCATGAGCTGTCCTGAGGAAGCTTGAGTGTACTCAGGAAGAAATTATCATCTTCTTGATTACCACTTATGGTCATTAGGAAAGGAAGCCCTTTCTCGGACAATCTCTGAGACCCTCCATCTCTTCAGGACTGTACAGAATAAGGCATAGCCTGGACTTCTCCTAAAAACAAGGAATACAGAAATGAAGGTATATGCTCATTTTGGAGCAGGAGACAGAATAAGTCAGACCTAAGATGTCTGAAAACACAGCTAGTGTTCATGGTGAGGTGATATACCTACTCAGCTCTTTATTAGCATAAGTGGATCATTCTAATGCCATTGGAAAAGCTGTTCAGGTCACATCTGGTCTCTCCTACTTTGGAGGGTATCCCAACAGTTAGAAGGTCTCTTTATCCTATCACGTGGTGCACCGTTTACATTTCTTCCCTGATCTTGTTGCATGGCGAGTGACGAAAATGAAAAACCTGTTAGAGGAAGCAGCCACTCTGTGCGGGTAGCTCCCTATTTCTCTTTTCTCTGTTTCAGTTCTGTCACCAGTGGTTCTCCCAGTGATGCTCCCAGCCATCATCATCACTTTGCTAATAATTGCTCATTGCAGCTATAGGTATCTCCTCAGGTAGGTTTGCATTGTGACTTGGAGATTTAGCAGCATGTTGGCCATGCAAATGGAATAAAGGGTGAAAAACCGAGGGCGAGGCACTGCTCATCCAGCATGAGAGAGTGCGCTATGTGGACATCAGCCTTGGTGTGCAAAGGGGAGTCCTGTGCGTGTCCGCGTGCAGATGAGACTTGGGTTGTGGTGTTTCAGGGCCTTGGTGGTGCCTTGTTGTGCAGAGCAGCACTGTGTGTGTGTGTGTGTGCGTGTGTTTGCGTGTGCGGTGTAATCTTTTCCCTTTGCAGCCTAGGCAAGAAGCAAATCTTGGAACCTCTGTGTTGTTGTTGCAGGAAGAAGAAAAACTGGGAGGAGAAGATTCCAAACCCCAGCAAGAGTCTCCTGATCCAGAGCTACTTGCGGGTAAAAGGGAATTGTGCTTTGCTGGGGTGCACCTGGAGAAGTATGACATGGAGTTGTTCTAGGGTGAAGAGAAAGGGCATCTCATACCTGGTTCTCCAACCACAAATGTTTTCTCTTCTTTGTCTCATGGTTTCGAAAGTTGACAGTGCAGTGAGTTATCTTATCCTAAGCTTTGTAAACATTCCAGTAATTCTTTTTTTTCTGGTCAGCTGTTACAGAAGGACAGTCATTTCATACCTACAGGTGAATTATTACCCACAGTGTCCTCATATGGTGCTGGATCAGAGCCTGCATGGCACAAAGCAATAGCATTGATGTTTACTGTGAAAAGGAACGTGCAGGGGCAGCATCCCCTGACTCCTATTCTACATAAAGATAGGTTAGGGATAGGTGACATGGAAGTGAAAGAACAATCTTCTGGAGAAGAGAACAAATTTTGTAGCCTCAGCAGTGAGATTGCTTCCACATTACCGTTCGTGCTGACTTGAAGATAGAAGACAGACCTTAACTTTTTCAGACTAGAGAATGAAGATTGAAAGGTGAAAGTAATCTGCACACTGGAGCAAAGACAAAAGAGGGAAAAGCTGACAGAAAAGGTTAGCTGAAGTCAAAGAGGTATGAAGAATACATTCAAGAATACATTCTAAGAATACATTCAGACTGGCAGTTTCTTAAACCGGTGTCAATTGATCTATTAAAGATTTCCTGCAGCAGTATTATACTGTGCTTAGGTGGGGACACAGTAGGACCTTAAGAATGAAAACAACAAAATTGTTGGGACAAAAGTTATTGGGAAAAGATTACTTTTAAAACAGAGGTTGATAAACTGGTAAAGCTAATTATTTGGTGTGAATGCCTGGAAACTCCTTCTTATGCTAAGTGCCTATCTGTGCTACTTGCATTCTTGTGCCCACGGCTCCTGGGTCTTCCTGGCCTTAAAAGGGATCTCTCTCCTCAAAACTGTTAAAATCTTCATTTTCTCTTTTCAGAAAGCTGCCAGCCAACTGCCAGCCAGCCAGATAGACTTCAGTGGGCAGAACACTTCTGAGCACATGGAACAGATTAACTGCCTTCAAGCACTGGATGGGTAAGTAAAAAGCACACTCATGACTCCTTTTCTGACAGGTTCCTTACTAACCATGAGGTAAGGGCAGGCTATACATGTATTCACGCACTGGGATGAGGAGGACAAAGAATTTTCACCTGTATATTTCCTAAGTCTATGTACTCCTCCCAAATGTCTGTAGAAACTGCAATGAATTCCTGTAGCTGCAGATCTTGACCTCCCCAGCTGGAAGTCTGAGGATGGAAATCTGCTCCCTTTCTTTCTCTGCATTCACTCTGGAAATAGATTTGAATAAAAGAGGTAGACTTGCTAGGGTGGAAATCTTGTTGGTTGACTTCCTCACAGCCTACCTGAACACAACCACATCCTCTCTCTCAAATATGTATATTCCCTCATCCCTTCATTCTCTAGAAATGAAACATGTTCTGCTCCCTCTAGCAGAGTGTGACTGTGAAAGTGGAGAGTGACCAGAGAAGAACTGCAGTGATCCCAGACCAGTGTGACATTGATCAGAAAGAGACCCACATTGTACATACAACCTCAAATTTGTGTCAGGTCTTCAAAGGTAGGGAGGGGTGATGACCATAGTGCTCTGCCCAGAAAACTATCCTAACCTGCAGAGCAATTAGGGGAGGCTGGCACAAATTAAAATAACTCTTGGGCTTCATAATAATTATCTGCCTCTTAGGAGAGAGGGTCAGATCTTTTCAACATATGCTTTCATAAGTCATGTAAATGAAAGATGGATTATGTTAGTTATTTCACTGAAACCTCACCTTGTCTTCTCCCTCTGTCTAATATTCAGCATTTGTAAGATCCTTGAGACAGGGATGCTCTATTTTGAAGAAGTAACTGCAAAATATCACTGAAAGCTCTAGAGCTGCATAAATGCTGATGCTAGCAATCACATTGTCTGAATCTGTACTTCCAAATAAATCAGGCTCAAGACATAGATTCAAGCACTGTCTTGTAACTGCTTATACTGTTTTGTTGCCAGCACCCTCCTGCCATGGTTTGGCCTCTGCCAACTGCTGTTCTATAAGATAACATCCTGGCACAAACTGGGATATTGCTCAGGGTAGCAACCATTCCCAGGGGGCCACATCAGACATGACTGTACCAGGTTTGGCTGCATCCACTGTCCTTTAACAGTATTCTAGCAGACTTTGCATCCAGGCCATGCTACACATAGCCTCAGTTTCACACTATGAACACAGCTGCTGCACAAGTCTGACATTATTTTGTACACATTGAACTGAAGAAACAAAAAGGACACAAAAACATAGCTGTTCTGTAGATTGCAAGGACACTGTGTTGAGACCCAAAAAACTACCAGGGTTATGCAGTGTGTGCTAGACACAGCCAGTCTATGCCACTTAACCTGAGGGTCAAAGGATGGTTCCCAGCTCTTTTTTAATCGCAGTATAAACACAAACTTTCTCAAAAGCCGATTTACATTACATATCCTGGCATTGAGAAAAGTCAGCGTTAGCACTAGACAGTTGGTCTCTTACTACAGTACAGAGAAGGCTAAGGCTTGCATCTGCTGAGGAAGATACAAGAGATGTAGCCAAAGGTTCCTTCTAACTTCCTGGAGTACAGTGTGCTTCTGTAGACCAACTCCTGTTTCTGTACAATGATCACTTTACAGAGCTGGCAATTAGAGAGCTGTCATTAGAAGCTAAGTAAGTTCTGTGTTTTTCACCTAAAAAGGATGATTAGGAGCAGTTCAGCAGAGTTCCCTGGAGCTTAGGCAGAGAAAGTGAAGGTTTCCCATTCTACCCTGGAGCCACACAACCCCTGTCAGACATCCGGAGTGCCACATAGAACCTTATTTTCATCAGCCGCACTTGTATGCCATTAAATCATACCGATGGTCAGTCCTGCTTGTTTGCCAGGCTTACATGCAAGAATGTTGCTGATGCAAGTATTGCTTCCCAGACAGCAGTCCCTTGCTTTGATTTCAATGGTCCATACTTGTACAGGCCAGTGATGCCCTCTCAGCCCGATATGCATCAGGCCCTTCAAGCAGTCCCAGCGGGAATCCATGGGAAATCAGCGTCCCTTCAGTATGTGACCCTCCCAAAGGAAGCCTGTCCCCAGCCTCCTCAGAGGCAGGCACAGCCGGGAGCACTTCCTCTGCAGCCTCTCCTGCTCCCAGACCGGAAGGAAATGATGCAGCATCTCAGCGGCGGGGAAGAAATCTCACCAGCCCAACCAGCCTGTGGGAAATGCATGAATGTGAGGCCGGAACGGCAGAAATCTCCAATGGCTCTTAGCCGTACTGGCTCTGCCCAGCAGTGCTCCTTGAGCTACATCACCACAGACAGCCTCTTACTGCCATCAGCCAGACACTCCAACCACCTGTCCCTCGCCACTGATGGAGAATTAGCGTCTGACTCACAGGAGATCCAGCCCCCCGATGACTGCTTTTGCCATGAGTTTTCTCCTGGGAAATCTGATGCCCTGCTTGCAGTTTCAGGTCAAACGCCAAACCCTTCTCCTCAATTGCACCTGGATGCATTTGGGGACTATCTTACTGTCCCTCCAAGTCCCCATGGACCTTCAGAATCCACAAATATTTCCTCCCATGTTTTTTGGAAAGGAATCAGTTTTTCAGAAGAACCTGTGTTGGAGAACACCACAGTCCTGTTTAATCCTGACAGCATCATGATTGTTTTCTTCCATTACGGGCTATTGCTACCCTGCCCCCTACCCAAAACCTAGTGAGAAGACTTGCATGAACCAGGAAGATCCATGAATAAACAGGCTTTCCAAACACATTAAAATTATCAAATAGCCTGTACATGATGGGGGATCCATCAGTGGCAAGGAAGAGAACACACAGAGTATTGAGGTCATTCTGCTCTTTAGAAATTTGAAGCCACTGTGGAAAGGAATGCAGCCAGCTGTAAGACTCAGAGAAGCCTGCTAGGATTGTGGTGATCTTTGATATCCAAGATAAAAAGATAAAATTTGAAGAATGCCACCATTACATTCTCATTTTCTTCCCACAAATGCTATTTCTCCTGTCCAGTCTCCAGTTCAGTGTGGAGAAATTTCTCAAGCAACCCTACTCCCTTTCTTAGTTATATTAATGCATCTTGTAAAAGGTACAGGATATAAGTCCACCATACCTGCATTTAGATGGGCGTGCTACACAATCCCTTGCCATGTTTCATTGGCCAGATTTATCTAGGTCCTCTTTCTAAAAAGAGGTAACCAATTTCAGCTCAAGCTTCTAGGTTCTGGGAAAAAAAAAAAGATTCTGCTTGGGCACATAATAAGCTTGGATAATCAAGTTTTCTGCTCAAGAGCAATGCATCCGAGGGCTTAAAAGAAAAGGAACTTACCAAAAGGGATAAAATGGCAACTCAACATAAACATTAGAAAGCCACTTTACTAAATTCAATAACATAACCTGAAAGATTTTTGGTAATGTATTCCACTTCCATTCTTTGCCCGGACTTGAGAGCATCCATTGTTCGTCTCTGAGAAAAATGTTGCTCCTAAACCTCTCTTACCATTCCCAAGTGCAGTGATCTCACCTCTGATACTGAGTAGCTGCTCTTAGCAGCTTTAGCCCAAGAAGTTCTCATTCTATTTGCAGTCCCCACACTGCCCCCTTAGTATTTCAGTTCCTCAGAGAGGAGTCAGCGGCATGCAAAACCCCAAGAGACCCCTGGGGAAAATCTCTCTTCTCTCCACTTTCTTACTACATAGCTCCTTTGGTTTTCCACTACCAAGGAGACCAGCAAAAGTAATTCCTAATCCTCAGGCATGTTCAAACACCATTCTCCTGATGCATAAAAGTGTTTTAAATACCTTCAAAATTAAGACACAATTGCATTTCAACCCAAGTGTCCAAGACTGAAATCCACTGACGTCATTTCCCTTGCTCCCTCTTTATTGTGATTTCTAGGCATTTCAAGCAGCTCGGGATTTCTCTTTATCCCATTAAAGGCAGGATCAGCAGTAAGTACTTCATTTTTTAAGGAATGAGGTATTGGGCTTACCTCAGGATAGAAGTGGCTCTGAAATTAAGTTTCAGTTCAGTGCAAGCTTTACAATGTACAAGATTGAATTTAATAGCTGGCTGGAGATGGTAAGAGTTCTTGCAGTGAGTATCTTCTGTTCTTACAGTTACAGTTGCTTTAGTGGGCCATTCAAAATCACTTGCAGTGTAGACAACAAAGACAGATTGGAATTGTTCAGGATAGCCCAAGATAGACAGAAGTCAGGGGGTTAAGTGAAAAAGAAAAAAAGATGGAGAACAGGAAACCTTTCTTAACAGTGGTATCTTGCAGGATAAGCTATGTCTTAATTGGTGGGATGCCTAAACCTAAACTGGGAAATGTCCATTATTGCAGGAAAAACTAAAAGGTAGGACAAGAGTGCTGCAGATGCTTGAATTTAATTGGACTATTTCAAATTGCTATAGTACTATATGATTATCTATATTTCAAGTGCATTCACTGTTTATAGATGACTGAAACAGCTCTTAACCAGCTGTTTTTGTGACTAGCTAATCCAGAGAAGAACACTTTTCTTTTTTTTTTTTTTCCAGCTCCAGCCTGTCAGGTAAAAACATTTGCTCAGAGCTGCCACCCAATGCTCAGGCCTTGCAAGATCACTTAAATACAAGCTATCTACATTGCAACGTGCTGAGTTCAGTGAGACAATATAGCAGAGGTCTAACGTCTCACTGCATAAAAAAAGGCAAAAAGTGAAAGGCCATTTCCCTCTCCACTCCTGTTCCTCCACATCTGCAAGCCCCACCACTATCTGCCTTGCCTGTAACAAGATCCTTCGCTAAGCAAATTTAATTGGTTAACCTGTTAACTTTGCTTTCTTCTTCTGCATTGATTTTTGCTGGTTTATCAAGTTGAATCAGTTTGGAGTGAGGGCAGGTAAGTGTCAGCACCAGCACAAAAAAACAAGCAGGAACGAACAGCAGAGGGATGGGTGGGAGACTTTGAGCAGCAATGAGCACTCATTTCAGCTCAGCTGTCTTGTCTAACCGCATCTGATATGCTATTTGGAAATTCCCAAGCTGGCTTTAAACATGCTTGTTTGGGTATCCAAAGCACTCTAGGCATTATGGAGTGCTGCTTAGGGTAACACACCTCACCATGGTTCTCGGTAAATCAGTCAACCAGTCTGTTCAGCGTTCCGTGACTTCAGGTATTGATTGCTTCCAGTAGCTGAGCTGTCTCATTGAAAGCTATCTCAGTTATCTCTGCACCTGTCGATGCATCACCTATCAGAACGTGATTGCCTCTGGCTGTGCTGTATCATTTGGCAAAGCAGAGAGGAAGAGGAAAGGAGATTACCATGTGTATGCATCCATTTGGCATCGATCGGATGGCATCCATTTGACTGCATTACACAGTGTCAACTATTTTGCATTATTGTGCTTATAAACATATTATTTTTATTTGTAAAAAGTGTGTAAAGTGATATTATTGTTCTTCACAGCAAGAGACAAACATCACAGTTTGTGGCACAGTATAGTGATGCACCATTAAGACACTTTCCTTAGCCTTTCATGGATAGCAAATTGCATTTTTTCCAAACTGTACCAGAATTTTGCACTCTGTCTGCCTAGACCACTAGAAAGAGACCTGTAAACTTGTATGCCGATTCAGCCTTTATATTAAGATCTTATATCTGTGTTAGCTAACTGTGCCCTGGACTTTCTGCTTTTAGTATGCCAAATAATGTCAGTAGGTTTCTCTTCAGGTCCATTGATTCTGGATTACGACTTGCTGCAGGCTCAGAGGACAGCATTTGTTATGTACTTGGAGTCATGCTGGTCATCAGTGCTGCATGCAACATGCAGAACAGGGTGGTGCTACAGAGCCCTGCTGTCCAGCTAAAGCCAGAGTGCTGTGTGCACAGACAGGGACCTCTCGTACTGATGCCCAAGGAAACCCGCAGGGAGATTTATACACATTGCCATTTGGCCAGTCTCCTTAGTTTGAAAGACTTGGGCACGTGCCTGGAAACATCTGAATTCCAAATGGTTAATTACTGCTGGTGGAAAATGATTATCACATGATAATCATAGTTATATTTTAACTTACTTCACTACTTTTATGTAGTCAGCACATTCTCATCTAAGCCAAAACTGACAAAGAGTGGTGTATCAATCCTAATTCTGTCCTGAAGCAGTTTGTATCAAGTAGCAGCAAAATATCAGTCTTTTAAAATGGGGAAAGCTTGGGAGCAGAGGGGAAGGATCAGAGCATCTCCCTTCCCAGACAGGTACTTTGCGATTGCTGGGCCAACCTGGTACAGTCTATGGGGCTGGAAGGCAGGAGCCTGCAAGAATATCCATTAGATACTATCAGAAGAACACGTCAGAAATCCCCAATAACCCTGCATGTACTGCAGCATTCAAGCTCTTGGGTGATCCTGGGTTATTCTTTGGACATACTCTCTGGCATGGACTGTGCGGTGGAGGCGTGTGCTTCTCTCTAAGAGACATATATCTGGGAGGTGGGGAAAGGGCTAGCAGGGGTGAGTATGACTTATGAGAGCTTTAGTAATAGTCCATTCACTCTGCGGGTGACTTGCAGATTGGAGAAATCCAGGGGCTTCTTGTAGCTTTCCTGTTTCCTTTAGGCGGGATGTTTTGGTTTGTATTAGCTTGGCCTGCAAATTCTGTGGGCTTTGGGTGAACACCCTGACACCTTCTCTTCTCAGATGTGTTTCTTTTTGTTTTCCCAGCATTACTGCTGCTCCCTGCCTAGGCAAGAACTTTCCATGAAATCCTCCAAGTGACAGACATAACAACAAAACCAGAACTGCGGGCAGAGAAATTTCCTCTCCTACCCCACAAAGGCATCTGTTGCCAACCACTGGATTTGCCGTTGGGCTATTGCATGGACACTGTTTGGTGCCTAAGAAGCACAAGAGTCTGAAATCACCTGGAAAACATCAATAGGCCGCTGGTTTTTTGCCTGGTGTGCCTGGCTGCTATATACCTCCAGCTCTTAAGCTATGTGAGAGTTTTACAGCCTTTGGATGGAAGAGGTAGGCAGCATTCAGGCTCTTGGGTGACCCTGGTTCATTTCCTGTGTATCCTCTGTGTATTTCCTTCTATCTATCTGGATTGCTGGGGCAGCCACTGAAGTATCATGAATCTTCTGACAAACCTGAGTTTATACACACATATACACATACACGCACACCTATCTCCCTTCCTTGGCATCCTGTCTAGGTCCCACTTAAAAATCCAGCACTACAGCCAGGTCGCAGGGAGGGTGACATTCAAAAATCATGTTCATTGCTAACTAGACTTCACTCCCCCCCGCCTTTTTTTGCCCCCCCCCCCACCTTCCATGCTACTCAGTGGGATTCCTGGTCCTGCCTCATACGTCCTACTCCACCTTCTGTAGTAGCAGATGAATTTCTATTTGCTGTCCTCTCACATCCTTCTACCCTCTGCAGGGCGTGCATCTCGCATCCCATTGAGGCTCAACTTACCAGTGACCAACAAAGCGATTTTTTTTTCCATGCACATTCAGGTTTCTCTGGCATTCCTCTTCCAGAAGACTCCCTAATTGGGAGGAGAAGAGAGCACCAACACACCTGCTGTTGACACCTAGCAAGCAATTGGCAGAAGGCTTATATGGAGGTTTATTAGACGGTTGAGGAAGAACTTGCTGAAAGCACTCCAATCCCTAACCTTATTCTTCTAAGGTTTGCCTTTGTTCTTCCCATATTTCTCTTCAAAGGCTTTCTGCAGGTTAAGATTTAGGGCATTTTTCTGATGCCATCTCCCTGTAAAGAAGGCAAATCATAGTTCAATTACAGCTCCCCTTCTCACAGTATTACTCCTCAGGGATTTTTCTAGCTGTAGAGTTCCCCTTGTGAACATGCCAATGTGTAGTCCACCCATTTGCCCATACCCATCCTTTATCCTTGGCAGAAGCAGCACCCATCTCAGAAGTTCAACAATGTATTTTTCCTGACACAAGCCATACCTAGCTCATCAGTCCTCCTTCCATGCCAATTCTTGGGATCTCTGATTGCTTTCTGAATTACATCGGGGGTGTAGGAATCTTTCATCAAGCTTCTGCTCTCCAGTGGGCCACCTGCAAGGGACAGCAAATGAGGAATTGTATTCAGAAACCACCCTATTGCGGGCCTGGAATTGAAGCAGGAGAGCCACACCAGCAATTTCAAAGGCACTGGAAAAGGTGTGTGTTGACTCCAACATCTTTTTTTAGATGTGTGGCTAGGTGCTGAATAACAGCCTCATCATCACACAGGCAGGAGCCTGTGTTTGCCAATTTATCTGCTTTTCATTCTAAAGTATGAGATACACATAGAGGGTACAGCATGGTATCGTTTTTATTTGTATCCCAGTGTCCTTTCTTCACTCAAGTACCCACTTGATCTCCTCTTGAATCCTCTCATCCATGTGAGTAACTTCCTATTCAGCAGTACAGCTTCACAAAAAGCACTATCTTACCACTCAAGGCCTTGAGTTCCTTTTCTGCCATGACGCTTACAGATAGCTCCCATTCACTGGACTCTTGACTTCTCTGTTTAGCTCATTTTTTAGCCATTTGAGGGGCTTTTTTTATCATCTCTCGTCCTTTCCTTCTCATCTTCCTTTTTATTTTACCCTCTCCTTGATGATAATGGTTTCGAGCTCCCTGGAGCAAGATACCCCTCTTCTCAAAGGGATAAGCCCAGGATAATGTAGTTTTCAATATTCAGCAAGTCATGGAATGTACTGTATAAGGATAAGGAATCTGACTCATGGTGGTACATGATAAACTGGAGTAGGAGACATTTATCTCAGAGATTCTTGGATACAGAAGAATCATTTCCTCAAGCATCACAACCTAGGAAAGGAGTGCCATGGATGGAAGGGGCAAGAGGGGAAGATGAGGGACACTGAGAGTCAGACGTCTACCCAAACCAGCGCAGATGCCCAGGGCCCAGGCACAGTATAGATGGGCTCAGCTTTGAAGATCAGGCATAGGTATGTGCATCCCCTCACCTTGGAAGATATTTGACCTCAGGTTAAAACCCAGCTGGTAGTAATCAGCAAAAGATGTAGCGGTCAGGGGGTTTTGTAGCATCTCAGTGCGGTCGCTGAGCCTTTTCTGCCCCATGATTAATCCTGCCTTGCACAGAGCCTGCCGTTCCTGAAAACATGAACATGGAACCAGTTTCAGTTCACACACCTTAAGTGCACCAAACTCCTCCCAGCGTTTCCATCCCTGTATAGGCTCTTGAACTATGACTAATATCCCGGATCCAAGTCTGTCCTTGAGTCTCCCTCCGTCAGCAGCCTCTGTCGGCATTGTAACTGCATGGACCAACTGACATTGGTGCAAATGGCTGCAAATTAGAAAGACCTGATGGTGTTTGGCCCTGGACTGGGTCCTGGTACCACACTACTTTGCCCTGTTGAGTTGGGACTCTGTTGCTGCCTACAGGAACCTTATAAATGAAAGGGGGAGGGGAAAATAAAATGAAAAAAGAGATGGGACAGACTGTCTGTGGAATGTGCCACTGCTCCTCAGTGTGAAGCCCAAATCTATTCCTCTAAATCTATTCCCTAAATGCCATCTAGAAACTGCTTATATCTCACCCACTCAGCCCTCCTGCTACACTGTAAAAACAGCCTTCAACCTGCCCCAAAGGACACATGAAACTGCTTCCTCCAGTACCTCTTCACTGCTGGTAAGTTCATCTGCATTGACAGATTTATATTTGCTGTTAGCGTGCATCAAGGTGTTTCTCTTCCCCAGAAGAAGCTTCCCCTCTGCTTTCACATCTTGCCCTAATGATGCTAAGGACTCTTTGGTACTTAATCTGCAGCGGGTTTTCTTGGCCTCTTTGTAGCTGGCCTTGGTGCTCTTCTGGGGAGATCCAGACACCCTAGGCCCCAGTGTTCGGTGCTGGCCTGCTGCTGGCTCTTTGGCATTTGAGCTTGGTTTGTCCTCCGCCTCCTTCTGCCTGGATATTGCAGAGAGGTGGAAACCGCTGTTCCTCCCTCTTAGTTTGTGCCCCACTGCTGGGTCTTTGGTGGCACAAGTATCCCCTCCTTCCTCTTCAAGTCTTCTTGAATGAAGATCCTGCATGGAGGGAGTTTTGGCCTGGAGACTCTGTTTACTGTGGCTTTTATTTTGAACATACTTTGCAGAAGGAGATGCCTGGGATTTGACAGATGTGGGGTTCTTTGCCATTCCCTGAGCTGATGGGCCTTTGGAGATCTTCCAGAAGGTTCTGCTGGAACTCCGTAGGGATGTTCTCCGGCTGCTGGGCCGTGAGGCTGCTGCAAGATGCTCCTTTCTCTCTTCCTCAGGTTCAACTTAAAGACAAAAGTAATAGCTCAATGAATTTGATACTGTTTTGATGAGGGGTAGTACCTTAAGTGGAGCTGGAAATAACCAGACATGTCATGGTGTCATTGTCAGATAATAAAAGAAGTATCGACGGTCTCAAAGAGAGAAGGAAAAAAAAATACTCAGCAGCATTATACCAAACTTACTGTTCCCCCCCAAACCAGGTGAAGGCTCCTAGGGAGTCTAACATACTCTTGACAGATGATCATGCACAGTAATGTGCAGGTAAAAATCTTGAGGTCAAATGTGCACACACAGCTCTATCTTTTCTTACATTTAGGTGGCCCCTCCAAACATACGTGAATGTGCACTTGCAGACTCTGCCATGCATTGGTATCTGTTGAGGAGTTTACAGCACAGCATTGGCTTTTTGCACTTGTGCAGGGAAGTAGCGAGACAAGTCCACCAGTGGGGGGACACATTCTCAGGGGGATTGTAACCCGTCAGCCCACAGACACAGGGGATCCCATGCTCCCCTGTCTGTGTAGTTTTCACTCACACAGAGTATATGCAAATCTGGACACCATAAAGGAAGGGAGGCAATGGTAATCTCCCTCATAAGCTGTGTTGCAAAGCAAGCTCCGAACAAGAGAGAGTTTCTTTGCTACTTTGCTTACCTGATGAACTGCCAGCCAGGACAGAGACGCTTTTTGCTGTGTCAGGTGTGGGCAGAGCTAAGGCTTGTGGCACCTCCTTGGAAGAGAAATAAGTTCTATGTCAGGCTCAAAGAAGGGAATGGAGAAGACTGTGGCCCTGCCCATCTGCTCATCTTCCTGAGATGTGGACTATTCTCAAGCAAATGTGGAATTTGCCTCCCTAGATCAAGGTAGGGCAGTCCATACCTGACTGTATGGTTGGTCCTACAACCCATGATCCTTTCAGATTAAAAAAAGCACAGAAATCCTTCAGGATTTGACATTATCAGCTCTCATGGGACAGCCTGTCTAAGACACGGTCAAGCAGTGCCCCTGACGAATACTGAGCTGCAAGAGTTTTCACAGGCAGCAGTGAAGAAACAGGCCAAAATGGAAAAAAAATCAGTGAAAACTTTATTATCTATTCTGAAGCACCTACAGGTGCTTCAGTCGAGACCTCCATTCCCAGGACTGCCATGTGCTATACAGTTATAACAGCTCATTCCTAAGGCTAGATGAACAGGGAGAGGAGGTAATGACCATAAAATGGCTGCACAATGCTGAATATGCAGAGGAGGAGAGATTGGTTGGGGATGAGGTTTCTTCCCCGATTCTGGCAGCAACTATTCCCTGTTTTGCTTTGTTAGCTCTGCTGATGTGATTGATCCAACACCCAGTCTTTGCAAAACCAGCCCTTAGGTCTCTTAGGTTCTGCCTGTCTCCTGCACTTGGAAGAAGCTTATGCCCTTCCGTGCAGAAGGAATCTCAGTCCTGTCCTGCTGCTGGTCTGTGTTCCTTATCCCAGTAGGACTCTACAGGCTTAGCTCATGTGAAATTCATGATGGGTTACAACTGATGACATGGCCCACAATGGTGAATACAGGCTTTGTGAACCTGCTGGCTCTGGCAGCAGTATAAATGTGATCTTGATCAGGTAGGGATATATGTTTGCATTTGTTGAATTAGCTCATGATAGGACATTTATGCTTACTTTCTGCTCTTAATGCTGGTTACTGGAAAAGAGACATCATCTGATGGGGCAAGAAGCCTATTGCTTTGAAGTTAACTAATAGGAATTCTCAGGACTGATTTAAACCAGCAGCGTGTATTTTTCATTGCACCAGCATTTCGCTGCAGCATGTCTGATGCAATATTGGGATCCTGAAGCTGGATTTACTCAATCAGTCTGACTGCAAGAGTCAGTGATGCATGCTTTCCAAATGTAGTAAGAGAAAATACCTCCTCCACAAGAAGACAAGGGCCACAAGAGGTGCAGAGGGGGAGCCAGTACGTGGCTTACTTTTAATCCCCTTTAATGAAGAACTAAACATTTAAACATGATCAAAGTGCAGGAATCTGTTCCTAAATAAATTCCTGTGTTAACTCCCACCTCCTACATAGCAATAACTATGGTCATTGCTGTTGTTATATCCAATGGAGAGAACTTTCTCTCCAATCTGCTATTGCAGAAATTCCTCTTCTCTCACTTCAATGCACCTCTTTTGCAGAAGCAAATTAAGCAGAATTAAGCAGTTAAGCAGAATTTCTACGTACAGAGGCAACATGCTCATCTCCCCAATCCTATTCATTGATAGCATTCATTTCCCCAGTTCCTCCTGGACAAATAGACGCTGAAGTTCTGCTGCTGTTCCTACTTTCTACTTTGTAATTGGATTTGATGCTATTATCCTTGCTTATTGTTCATTCTACTTTTGAGCCTAGGGGCCTTGTCCAAAGTCAAGGTGCCACTCTGAGATCCCAGTATCTTCATGCCAGGAAGGACTCCTGGATCATTTTACCATCCTCCTGGAAAACAGTTAAACCAACTTGGTGAGGGACAATATGCAGAAATATCAGAAAAGATGTATCTTGGTCAAAAAGCTAAAAATGATTAAACTTCTTCATTCCTTTTTCTGCAAAAACAAAATAAAAGCATGGTTAGCCTAGTTCAGCACCCTGACTTTCTTGACTTCCAGCCATTCCAGGCAGGGAACTAACTTCCTCAGAGAAGTGTATTAATTGCTATGCCATTCTCACCAGTTGCTAGACGTGGTCAAGAAAATACCTTTCGCATCTGGCTTGGCCATCAAAATATGAGGAGATTGCAGCAACTTTCCAGGCCTGAGAAGCCCCATGGCTGTCAAAGTGAAACTGGATCTTTTCAAATTTTGTTCATACTGAAGAAAGGAGCTAGGTTTTAGCAAGAGGCAAAGCATCTGCCATTATCACTTCTCTCACCTGATTCATGGTCTCTGATGAG